TAGCAGCGCGCCTGGCGATGCTGGACGCGGTGAATCCGCGGATGAGGCTGCTGCAGCTCGCTGCTGCTATTATTTCCCTGCACCTGGAGGTATTGTCGGTGTAAAGGTGTTGTTTGAAGGGGCTAAAAGGGTTTTAGTGCGGTGCCTGGAGGCTGGAGGGTGGGCTGGCAGTGAGCCTGGCCATGCTGGATGCGGTGAACCCGCGGATGAGGCTGCAGCTCGCTGCTGCCATTATTTCCCTCCCTGCACCTCGAGGTATTGTAAGTGTGGTTTAAAAGGGTTGAATTGGAAGACAGTGCGGTGTTTGAAAGCCTTGGGGCGGGCTGGTAGCGCGCCTGGCGATGCTGGACTTGAGACGTCTCAAAACTAGCGCGCCTGGCGATGCTGGACTTGAGACGTCTCAAAACTAGCGCGCCTGGCGATGCTGGACTTGAGACGTCTCAAAACTAGCGCGCCTGGCGATGCTGGTCTTGAGACGTCTCAAAACTTGCGCGCCTGGCGATGCTGGTCGCGTGGAGGAGGCTTCAGCTCGCTGCTGAGGTAAGGAATTTCAGGTATGAATCGGCAGGGACTGAGGGTTTGCAACAGTGGCAGCAAGAAGAAGAAGAAGAAGAAGAAGAAGAAGAAGAAGAAGAAGAAGAAGAAGAAGAAGAAGAAGAAGAAGAAGAAGAAGAAGAAGAAGAAGAAGAAGAAGAAGAAGAAGCCTTCCTCTTTCTCCTAAGCTCCCCTTTCTTTCGTCCCTCCATTGCAGAAGCCCTGCCCGCCTGGTGCAGCAAGGCAGCAGCAGCAGCGGCTGAAAGAAGGAGAAACCCCTTTCCCCCTCCTCCAAACCCCCTTCGCTGCACCTAGGCCCCTCTCCCCTGTTTCCAATCAATTCTGAAGTTCTCCCTTTGTTAAAACCTCCATTGCAGAAGCTCCGCCCGCCTGGTGCAGCAAGGCAGAAGCGGCAGCAAGAAGAAAAAAACCCCTTCCTCCTCCTCTCCTGTATAAATCATTCCTGCCTTTCTCCTTTTCTCCCATCCATTGCAGAAGCTTCGCCTGGTGCAGCAAGCCAGCAGCGGCGGCAAGAAGAAAAAAACCCCTTCCTCCTCCTCCAAACCCCCTTTGCTCCAGCTCGGCCCCCCTCCCCCCTCCTCCTCCTCCTCTACCGCTTCTGGAGGGAAGGGCAGTGGGGAAGGCGAGGGGAAGGAGCGAGGGGCGGCAGGGGATGGCGAGGAGGGGGACGAGGAGGAGGAGGAGGATGATGACGATGATGATGACGTGGCAGTGCTTGAAAGGCGCATGAAGGAAGTCAAGATGCCGCCCAACGTGTGGCGCCACGTGCGCCGTGAATTGAAGTGAGTAGATGGGGCACTGTGGTTGTTCTGAGGTCCTACCTGCGACAGACAGGCTCTGGGGGATTGGGGGTTAAAGTGCTTGAGAGGCGCATGAATGAGGGAGGTCAAGATGCCGCCCAACGTGTGGCCCCACGTGCGGCGCGAATTGAAGTGAGTTGACGGGGCATCATGGTTCTTCCAAGGCCCAACCTATGACATCCAAGAGGTCCTATCGCTGGGGGATAGGGGCAAGTGCTTAAGAGGCGCATGAAGGAGGTCAAGATGCCGCCTAATGTGTGGCGCCACGTGTGCCGCGAGCTCAAGTGAGTTGGTTGGAGGGGGCACACACACACACACACACACACACACACACACGCACGCACACACACACAAACACACACACACTTTGGTGGCGGTGATTGAGATGAGAGGCGCGTGAAGGAGGTGAAGACGCCTCCCAACGTGCCTCTCATCTCAAGTGAGGGCTCAAGTGAGCACGTGGCGCCACACGTTGCGCCACGTGCGCCGAGAGCTCAAGTGAGAGGGGGTTTGTGGGTGGGGGTATGATGGTTCTTATCTAGGCGATGGTTATTCATAGAGGCGCATGAATGAGGTCAAGATGCCGTCCAACGTGTGGCGCCACATGCGGAGAGAGCTCAAGTAAGTTTATTGAGGGGGGGTTTGTGGGGGTATGGTGGTTCTTATATGGGAGATGGTTATTGAGAGAGGCGCATGAAGCAAGGAGGTGAAGATGCCGTCCAACGTGTGGCGCCACATGCGGAGAGAGCTCAAGTAGGTTGACGGGTGGGGCATTGTGGTTCCAAGGCCCTCCTGCGTGTGACAGCCAAGCTCTGAGAGATGGGAGGCAGTCCTCGAGAGACGCATGAAGCAAGCAGGTCAAGATGCCCTTATGGGCCCCTGTCGGCCCCTGTCGGCCCCTTTCGGCCCGTTATCGGCCCCCTGTCGACCCACTATGTGTGGAAAAGGTTGGGTGGAACTAGGATGCTTTTAGCTGAACTTAGCGGCCATGAAAGTTTCAGGTGTATTTTTCCTTGGTGTTGTTGTTCTAGGCCGCAATGGCAGCAACCACGGGTAGCTTAATCGATCCCATCAGTCCCCCTCAAACCTTCTCAATAGCGTTTCACGCTTACAGGACAAATGCTTTGGCTGATCCTATTCATCCTGGCTGCTCCCTCTCATCTCTGTTTCATCCCCCTGACAGGCGCCTTCGCAAGATGCAGCCGCAGCAGCCAGGTTACAGCACAACGCGGCAGTACCTGGAGCTATTAAGCGACCTCCCCTGGGAAATTTCGTCTCCCGTTACTGTTGCTGCTGGTGGTGGTGGTGGTGGTGGTGGTGCTGGTGGTGGTGTTGGTGGTGTTGGTGGTGGTGCTGGTGGTGCTGGTGCATTTATCGAGCAACACTGATGCCAGATTCTCCTCTTCTTCTGCTGCTCCATCCCCCCTTACAGACGTCTTCGCAAGATGCAGCCGCAGCAGCCAGGCTACAGCACAACGCGGCAGTACCTGGAGCTCCTGAGCGACCTCCCCTGGGGCATATCGTCTCCCATCACTGCTGCTGGTGCTGCGGCTGGTGGTGGTGGTGCTGGCAGCAGCAGTGCACTGATCTTCTTATCCCTGCATCTACCTCTCACCTGTATTCCCCCTGATAGGCGCCTCCGCAAGATGCAGCCGCAGCAGCCGGGCTACAGCACAACCCGTCAGTACCTGGAGCTTCTGAGCGACCTCCCCTGGGGCATATCGTCTCCCGTTACTGCTGCTGGTGCTGCTGGTGGTGGTGCTGGTGGCAGCAGCAGCGGCGCGCTGATAGACGTGGCGGCAGCGAGGGAGCAGCTGGACAGGGAGCACTTTGGGCTGGAGAGGGTGAAGCAGCGCATTCTCGAGTACATCGCCGTCAGGAAGGTGAGTGAGTGCGGTGGAGTGCGGTGGGATGGGGTGAGGTGGATGGCATCACCAGCAGCGCGGTGATAGACGTGGCGGCAGCGAGGGAACAGCTGGACAGGGAGCACTTTGGGCTGGAGAGGGTGAAGCAGCGCATTCTAGAATACATTGCTGTCAGGAAGGTGAGTGAGTGCGGTGGGGTGCGGTGGAGTGCGGTGGGGTGGGGTGAGGTGGGGTGGGGTGCGGTAGGGTGCGGTGGGGTGGGGTGGGGCAGCAGCAGCAGCAGCGCGGTGATAGACGTGGCAGCAGCGAGGGAGCAGCTGGACAGGGAGCACTTTGGGCTGGAGAGGGTGAAGCAGCGCATTCTCGAGTACATCGCCGTCAGGACGGTGAGTGAGTGCGGTGGTGTGCGGTGGGGTGGGGTGGGGAGGGGTGGGATGTAGCGACATGGGTAAGGTAACTAATGCTGCTGCTGCTGCCTCTTGTGTCCTGTCCCTTCCTGTTGTGGCAACCCTCTGTGTGCCCCTCCCTCCTCTCCAGCTCAAGCCTGACACTACAGGCCCTGGGCAAGACCTCTCTAGTCTCCTCCAACCCGCCTTTGCAGCTTAGCCCCCTTTGTGTCTCCCTCTTCTTCTTGTGCTCCAGCTCAAGCCTGATGCTACAGGTCCTGTGCTGTGCTTTGTGGGCCCCCCTGGCGTGGGCAAGACCTCGCTTGTCTCCTCCATCGCCAAGGCCCTGGGACGCAAGTTTGTGTCTCCCTCATCTTCTCTCTTCTCCTTTGGTCTTTCTCCGGTCCCCTGTCCTCCCCTAACCTTCCAGCTTAAGCCTGACGCCACCGGCCCTGTGCTGTGCTTCGTGGGCCCTCCTGGAGTGGGCAAGACATCCCTAGTCTCATCCATTGCCAAGGCCCTGGGACGCAAGTTTGTGGCTTAACCACATTGTGTCTCCCTCTTCTCCTTTCTAACTCACCTCCCCTACTCTTCAGCTCAAGCCTGACGCCACGGGTCCTGTGCTGTGCTTCGTGGGTCCTCCTGGCGTGGGCAAGACATCCCTGGTCTCTTCCATCGCCAAGGCCCTTGGGCGCAAGTTTGTTCGGATAGCGCTGGGAGGGGTGAAGGACGAGGCGGATATCAGAGGGCATCGGCGGACTTATGTTGGGAGCATGCCGGGGCGACTGATTGAAGGAGTCAAGGTGAGAGCAGGGGAAGGTAGGGTGGTTGTGCGGCTGTTGGGTGCTTGTTTGTGCGGAGCGGATAGTGCTGGGAGGGGTGAAGGACGAGGCGGATATCAGAGGGCACCGGCGGACGTATGTTGGGAGCATGCCGGGGCGACTGATTGAAGGGGTCAAGGTGAGAAGGTTCGGGGGGGGTTAGAGGGGTTTAGAGCGGGTTGGAGGGGGGTAATAGTGAGTTGCTGGGAGGGGTGAAGGACGAAGCGGATATCAGAGGGCACCGGAGGACTTACGTGGGGAGCATGCCTAGCCGACTGATTGAAGGGGTCAAGGTGAGAGCAGGGGAAGTGTGGATTTGTGTGCTAGTTTGTGCGGATAGCGCTGGGAGGGGTGAAGGACGAGGCGGATATCAGAGGGCACAGGCGGGCGTATGTGGGGAGCATGCCTGGCAGGCTGATTGAAGGGGTCAAGGTGAGAAGGTTCGGGGGGGTTTAGAGCGGGTTAGAGGGGGTTAGTAGTGAGTTGCTGGGAGGGGTGAAGGACGAGGCGGATATCAGAGGGCACAGGCGGACGTACGTGGGGAGCATGCCGGGGCGACTGATTGAAGGGGTCAAGGTGAGAGCAAGGAGGGGGGAGATGGGGTTAGAGGGGGCTCAAAGGGAGTTTGTGCGGAGCAGATAGCTCTGGGAAGGGTGAAGAACGAGGCGGATATCAGAGGACGTATGTGGGGAGCATGCCGGGGCGACTGATTGAAGGGGTCAAGGTGAGAACAGGTAGGGGGGGAGAGGGAGTCAGACGGGGTTCATAGTGAGTCACAAGAAGGGGGATGAGGCGGATATCAGAGGGCACCTTGCATTCGTCCCACTCTCTGTCTCTCTCCGCCGCTCACCAGCGCGTGGGGGTGAACAACCCAGTGATGCTGCTGTACGAGATCGACAAGACCGACGCCAATGCCAGGGGCGACCCTCTCAAAGACAACGCCCCTCTCTTTCCTCAACCCATCTCATTCAACCCCACACCCTCCCCCCATCCACTGCCCTCTCCTGCTACCTCTCACCAGCGTGTGGGTGTCAACAACCCAGTGATGCTGCTGGATGAGATCGACAAGACTGGGGCTGATTGACAAGACGGGCGGCGATGCCAGGGGTGACCCTGCTGCTGCCAGAAAAGCCCACATTCCCCTGTCCATCCTCACCCTCGTGCTGCATTGCTCTCTCTCACCCTCCCATTCACCCACCAGCGTGTGGGTGTCAACAACCCAGTGATGCTGCTGGACGAGATTGACAAGACTGGAGCCGACGCCCGGGGCCGGGGTGACCCTGCTGCTACGGCCAGCAACGCACTCACAATTCTCTCCACATACCCTCCCATTCACCCACCAGCGTGTGGCCGTCAACAACCCAGTGATGCTCCTCGATGAGATTGACAAGACGGGCGCCGATGCCAGGGGTGATCCAGCTGCGGCGCTGCTGGAGGTGCTGGACCCCGAGCAGAACAAGTGCTTCCAGGACCAGTGAGTGGGGCAGATGGGTTGAGAGCGGTGAGAATGGGCTGTGGTACAGTGTTGCTGATGCGCTGCTGCAGGTGCTGGACCCCGAGCAGAACAAATGCTTTCAGGAGCAGTCCTTCCTTCTTTTGCCAAGTTCCCTGTCCCCCCTTCCCCTGTCTCCCTTTTTTTCCGCCCCCCCATCCTATACACCAGCTTCCTGGGGGTGCCCTTCGATCTCTCGCGGCTGGTGTTTGTGGCCACGGCCAACTGCGCAGCACCCATCCCAACAACTTGTTTCAATGCGCTGACCCTCTCATCTCCCTTTCTGCCGCTCCCCCCTCTCCGCCCCAATCCAATCCACCAGCTACCTGGGGGTGCCCTTCGATCTCTCGCGGGTGGTTTTTGTGGCCACGGCCAACCGCGCAGCACCCATCCCAAACACTTGTTTCCCTGCTCCTTCCCTCACGTATCCTTTTCCTCCCTCCCCCCTTCCACCCTTCCTCCTCTTATCTCCAGCTACCTGGGAGTCCCCTTTGATCTCTCCCGCGTGGTGTTTGTGGCAACGGCCAACCGCGCAGCACCCATCCCAGCCGCTTTCTTCCATTTCAATCACTTCCCTCCCTCTCCCCTCCTCTATCCACCAGCTACCTGGGGGTTCCCTTTGATCTCTCGCGGGAGGCGTTTGTGGCAACGGCCAACCGCGAAGCACCCATCCCAGCCCCTTTCTTCCCTCGCCTAGTCTCCTGTCCCTCCCTCTGCTGTCTCCCCTTTTTCCTGCCCTCCCCCAACCCAATCCACCAGCTACCTGGGGGTCCCCTTTGATCTCTCACGAGTGGTGTTTGTGGCGACGGCCAACCGCGCAGCACCCATCCCAGCCGCTCTGCTGGACCGCATGGAGGTGATTGAGCTGCCGGGCTACACCCCCGAGGAGAAGCAGCGAATCTCCCCTTCTCCCCCCCATCTTCCCCCATCTCCCCACCATCTCCCCCGGAGGGGAAGGCACCCAATCGCCCCTTCTCCCCCCATCTTTCCCCCAGAAGACGCAACCAATCTCCCCTTCTCCCCCCATCTCTCCCACCCCTCAATCCACCAGCTACCTGGGGGTCCCCTTCGATCTCTCGCGGGTGGTGTTTGTGGCAACGGCCAACCGCGCAGCACCCATCCCAGCCGCTCTGCTGGACCGCATGGAGGTGATTGAGCTGCCGGGCTACACCCCCGAGGAGAAGCAGCGAATCTCCCCTTCTCCCCCCCATCTTCCCCCATCTCCCCACCATCTCCCCCGGAGGGGAAGGCACCCAATCGCCCCTTCTCCCCCCATCTTTCCCCCAGAAGACGCAACCAATCTCCCCTTCTCCCCCCATCTCTCCCACCCCTCAATCCACCAGCTACCTGGGGGTCCCCTTCGATCTCTCGCGGGTGGTGTTTGTGGCAACGGCCAACCGCGCAGCACCCATCCCAGCCGCTCTGCTGGACCGCATGGAGGTGATTGAGCTGCCGGGCTACACCCCCGAGGAGAAGCAGCGAATCTCCCCTTCTCCCCCCCATCTTCCCCCATCTCCCCACCATCTCCCCCGGAGGGGAAGGCACCCAATCGCCCCTTCTCCCCCCATCTTTCCCCCAGAAGACGCAACCAATCTCCCCTTCTCCCCCCATCTCTCCCACCCCTCAATCCACCAGCTACCTGGGGGTCCCCTTCGATCTCTCGCGGGTGGTGTTTGTGGCAACGGCCAACCGCGCAGCACCCATCCCAGCCGCTCTGTTGGACCGCATGGAGGTGATTGAGCTGCCGGGCTACACCCCTGAGGAGAAGCAGCGAATCGCCACGCGCCACCTCATCCCGCGTGTGCTGGAGCAGCACGGCATCACCAAGCGCCATCTGCATATTTCGGACGTGAGATTTGATTTGATTCGATGCTTTGTGGGTTGCATTGTATTGAATGTGACTCCTGTGGATCCTCAGTTAGATAGTGCAGCGAATCGCCACGCGCCACCTCATCCCAGCGTGCTGGAGCAGCACAAGGTCACCAATCACCACCTCCATGTCTCGGATGTGAGATTCTATTTAATTTTACTTGCTACTATTCTTGGCTTTAGTGCGTGCGTTGTGAACAGTGCTTTGACTCTTGGTCAACGGACCAATCCAGACGTCCTACTCTCCTTAGCTCTTCCCCTTTCCCCAATTCCCCCTTTACCCATCCCCTTTCCCTTCTTCGCCCCCTCCATCCCCCGATTCCCTCTTATTGCACCAACAGCACGCGGTGGAGTTGCTGATAACACGCTACACTCGCGAGGCAGGAGTGAGGAATCTGAGAGAACCAGCTCCATACATCCTTTCCTCGTCTCTCCCCCTCCCCGTCTCTCCCCATCCCCGTCCTCTCGTCTCCTCTACCCAACAGCACGCGGTGGAGATGCTGATAACGCGCTATACTCGTGAGGCAGGAGTGAGGAATCTGAGTCGCCTGCTGGCAGCACTGGCGAGGCACGCTGCTGTGCAGGTGCGTTGACTTTGGTTGACTCTGGTTGACTTGCGGCAAGGGAAGTTAGCACCACCCTGGCCCCTGGGACTGCTGGCGATGCTGCCAGCACTAGCCTACTTCAACACAGCACGGCTTGCTTGACATTTCACATGTTGCACCACCACCTTCCACCTTCCGATTTTTGAGGCGCCTCAAAAATCTTCAACACAGCACGGCTTGCTTGACATGCTGCACCACCCCTCCACCTTCCACCTTCCACCACCGCCCGCATTGAGGTCGTTTTTGAGGCGCCTAAAAAACGACTGCTGGCGATGCTGCCAGCACTGGCCTACTTTAACACAGCACAGCTTGCTTGACATGTCACATGTTGCACCACCCCTCCACCTTCCACCTTCCACCACCGCCTATATTGAAATCACTTTTGAGAATTCTCACAAGTGATTTCAATATTGCTTTACATGTTGCACCACCCCTCCACCTTCCACCACCGCCCTCCACCTCCAGGTAGGTGGTCCAGTCCAATCGACGCATCCGATTGGCTTGGGATGGGAGGTGAGCGGGTCCCCCCTTGCCCCTGGCTCTGCCCCTGCCTGTACACCCAGCTCTGCTGCTGCCACCTCACTCTCATATTTCTCTTCCCTCACCCCTTCCACGACCCCACCACCCACCACCCACAGGTAGCCCAGTCGAATCACTGCATCCGCGTGGCGAGGAAGGTGAGCAGGACCCCCACTGCCCCTGCCTGTACACCCAGCTCTGCTGCTGCTGCCACCTCACTCTCGTATTTCTCTTCCCTCACCCCTTCCACGACCCCACCACCCACCACCCACAGGTGGCCCAGTCCAATGGCTGTATCCACGTGGCGAGGGAAGCGAGCAGACCCCCCCTGCTCCTGGGACTGTCCCTGCCACTGGCACGGCCGGTGCACCCAGCTCTGCTGCTGCTTCTCCCACGGCTGACCCTCATGATTTTCTCCTGTATCGCCTCCACCTACCCCTTCAACCTCCACCCCACCACCCACAGGTGGCCCAGTCCAATGGCTGTATCCACGTGGCGAGGGAAGCGAGCAGACCCCCCCTGCTCCTGGGACTGTACCTGCCACTGGCACGGCCGGTGCACCCAGCTCTGCTGCTGCTTCTCCCACGGCTGGCCCTCGATTTTCTCTCCTGTATCGCCTCTACCTACCTACCCCTTCAACCTCCACCCCACCACCCACAGGTGGCCCAGTCCAATGGCTGTATCCGCGTGGCGAGGGAAGCGAGCAGACCCCCCCTGCTCCCGGGACTGTCCCTGCCACTGGCACGGCCGGTGCACCCAGCTCTGGTGCTGCTTCTCCCACGGCTGATCCTCATGTTTTTCTCCTGTATCGTCTCCACCTACCCCTTCAACCTCCACCCCACCACCCACAGGTGGCCCAGTCCAATGGCTGTATCCGCGTGGCGAGGGAAGCGAGCAGACCCCCCCTGCTCCCGGGACTGTCCCTGCCACTGGCACGGCCGGTGCACCCAGCTCTGGTGCTGCTTCTCCCACGGCTGATCCTCATGTTTTTCTCCTGTATCGTCTCCACCTACCCCTTCAACCTCCACCCCACCACCCACAGGTGGCCCAGTCCAATCGCTGCATCCGCATAGCGAGGGAAGTGAGCGGGACCACTGGGACGGCTTCTACCTCTGGCTCTGCTCCTGCTGGTGCACCCAGCTCAGCTGCTACTATCAACACGGCTGACCCGCTGGCGGCAGCAGCAGCAGTGGGAGATGCCAAGGCGGAGCTCGAGATGGAGGTGGAGGCGATAGGCATGGAGGTGAGTGGATACCGGTCCAGTTCAGTGGAGTGCGGTGCAATGCAGTTCCATGTTTTCCACGAGTAAAATCTATCTAGAGTGGTGGCAGCAGCAGCAGTGGGGGACGCCAAGGCGGAGCTCGAGATGGAAGTGGAGGCGATAGGAGTGGAGGTGAGTGGATACCGGTCCAGTGCGGTGCAATGCCGTGCACCGCACTGCTGCTCAGTTCCATGTCTTCCACTAGCAGAGACTAAAGTGGCCACAGCAGCAGTGTGGGACGCCAAGGCATGGCTCGAGATGGAAGTGGAGGCTATGGGCATGGAGGTGAGCGGAGACCATTACAGAGTGGTTGAGCGAGGTGCAGTGCGGTGCAGGCAGTGCCAAGGCGGAGCTCGAGATGGAAGTGGAGGCTATGGGCATGGAGGAGGTGAGTTTTGAGAGATCTCCAAATTCAGGCTCTGGCAATTGGCGTGAAGGTGGGTTGAGATGGGTTCAAGCGGTGCAATGTGGTTCTGTGTGTCCTGGTCAGGTGGTTGCATGCTGCACTCTGTGATCTCTCCACTCCTCTCCACTCCTGTCCACTCCCCTCCGCCACACTCTATCAATGTCAGACCGCATTCGTGCAACTGTTATCCGTTGACCCTCCAGGTGGCAGCTTTTGAGACGTCTCAAGATCAACCTTTGATCACGTGGTTACAGATGACCACGACCACCGTGTAATCTCTCTGCAACTGCCTCTACCATTCTCCACTCCCCTTCACCCCACATGTCTCCAATCTTTCCTCAATCCTGCCACTCCCGCAGGGCAAGGAGGTAGGTGGTGGCAGTGATGGCGGACTCAGACCCAATCGAGGTAACAGAGGATATTCTGTGCTCCAGCTCCCTCCTCTTCACCTCTCTGCACCGCTTTCCTTCTCCCTCCACGCCACTGAACCCCTGTATCCCTCCCACCCTGTCAGGGCAAGGAGGTAGGTGGTGGCAGTGATGGCGGTCTCTGACCCAATCGAGGTCACGGAGGTGATTCTGGAGAAGAATGGATGTTGGAGTGTTCCCTCCTCTTCACCTCTCTGCACCGCTCGCCTTCCCTCTCCACCCCACCCTGTCAGGGCAAGGAGATGGCGGCCGTGATGGCGGACTCAGACCCAATCGAGGTCACAGAGGAGATGAGACGCTCTAGTAAATGTTGCAGCTCCCTCTTATTCAATTCTCTGCACCGCTCTCCTTCTCCCTCCACGCCACTGAACCCCTCCCTTCCATTCAGGGCAAGGAGGTGGCAGCAGTGATGGCGGAGTCTGACCCTATAGAAGTCACAGAGGAGATGCTGAAGCTGCTGTAGTAGGTGTTGCCACTCCCTCCTCGTCACCGTTCTGCACCGTTCTCTTTCTCTCTCCGCGCCACTGAACCCCTCCCACCCTGTCAGGGCAAAGAGGTGGCAGCAGTGATGGCGGACTCAGACCCAATTGAAGTCACAGAGGAGATGCTGGAGAAAGTGCTGGGGGTGAGTGGTGTGGTGGCATGGCAGCATGGCAGCATGGTGGCATAGCATTATGGCATTAGGGTTGATATTAGATTTGGTGTTATTGGGCGCGGCAAGCTCATGAATTCAGATCCTTGGGCACCGCAAGCTCAAACCCAATTGAGGTCACAGAGGAGATGCTGGAGAAAGTGCTGGGGGTGAGTGGGGATACCATGGGATTGGCATTTAGGGTGGTGGTGGCGTGTGAGTGGTGGCAGCATGGCACGGCATTGGCATTGGGTTGGTGATAGCATGGCAGAAGGGTAGGTTGTGATGTGTGTGTGACGTGTGGCCGCATGCTTGTATGGTTTGTATTAAGATGGGTACAAGGGTTGCATATGCATTATTGGGGGTGGTGGTTGGTCCGGTCCGCTCTCGTGTACCCATCTCTCGTTGATTTTTGAGTCGACTAAAAAATCTACCCATCTCTCGTGTCCGCTCTCGCGCGAGGCAGCAGAGAGGTGGCAACACCGGGAGTGGCAGACTGGCAGTTGGTCTGGTGTGGACGGCAGTGGGGAGGGGCGAGGTGCAGTTTGTTGAAGCCCTCCCTCCTTTTACCATCCCTCGCCCTTCCCCTCTCCCCTTCCCTTACTCTGCACTACACCAACCCCGCCCCCTCTGTCTCCACGTCTCCCTCCCCTCACCCCTCTTCCCATCTCAGCCTCCCAAGTTTGGCGGCAGGGATACCGGGAGTGGCGGTTGGGCTGGTGTGGACGGCAGTGGGGGGCGAAGTGCAGTTCGTTAAATTCCCTTTTTGCCCCTGCCTTCCTTTCCCCTGTTTCTCTTCCTTCCGTTCTCCCCTCTCCCTTCTCCCAGCCCCCCAAGTTTGATGGCAGGGAGGCAGCAGAGAGGGTGGCGACACCGGGAGTGGCGGTTGGGCTGGTGTGGACGGCAGTGGGGGGGGAGGTGCAGTTTGTTGACGCCACAGGGGAAATAGGCCCCTTTCCGCTCCTCTCCCCAACACCCGTCTCTCCCCTCTCCTCTACCTTGGCCCTCTCCCCATCTCAGCCCCCCAAGTTTGACGGCAGGGAGGCAGCAGAGAGGGTAGCAACACCGGGAGTGGCAGTTGGATTGGTGTGGACTGCAGAGGGGACCGAGGTGCAGTTTGTAAAAGCCTCTTTTGGCCCCCTCTTTCCTTTCTCCTGTTTCTCTTCCTTTCCTTCCCCCCTCTCCCTTCTCCCAGCCACCCAAGTTTGACGGCAGGGAGGCAGCAGAGAGGGTGGCGACACCGGGAGTGGCGGTTGGGCTGGTGTGGACGGCAGTGGGGGGCGAAGTGCAGTTTGTTGAAGCCTCTTTTGGCCCCCATACCCCATCCCCTCTTCCTTTCCCTTACTCTGCAACTTGCGACACCAACCCATTTTCCCTCCCTTCTCCCCCTCTCCGTTTCTCTTCATTGCCCCTCTCCTCGCGTCGTGTCTCAGCCCCCCAAGTTTGACAGCAGGGAGGCAGCAGAGAGGGTTGCAACACCGGGAGTGGCAGTTCAGTCACTCGCTTCTCTCACTTTGCCTAACACTACCCCGTTTTCCCTCAATGCAGTTTGCTGAAGCCTCTTTTGCCCCCCCTCAATGCAGTTTGCTGAAGCCTCTTTTGCCCCCCCTCAATGCAGTTTGCTGAAGCCTCTTTTGCCCCCCCTCAATGCAGTTTGCTGAAGCCTCTTTTGCCCCCCCTCAATGCAGTTTGCTGAAGCCTCTTTTGCCCCCCCTCAATGCAGTTTGCTGAAGCCTCTTTTGCCCCCCCTCAATGCAGTTTGCTGAAGCCTCTTTTGCCCCCCCTCAATGCAATTTGCTGAAGCCTCTTTTGCCCCCCCTCAATGCAGTTTGCTGAAGCCTCTTTTGCCCCCCCTCAATGCAGTTTGCTGAAGCCTCTTTTGCCCCCCCTCAATGCAGTTTGCTGAAGCCTCTTTTGCCCCCCCTCAATGCAGTTTGCTGAAGCCTCTTTTGCCCCCCCTCAATGCAGTTTGCTGAAGCCTCTTTTGCCCCCCCTCAATGCAGTTTGCTGAAGCCTCTTTTGCCCCCCCTCAATGCAGTTTGCTGAAGCCTCTTTTGCCCCCCTCAATGCAGTTTGCTGAAGCCTCTTTTGCCCCCCCTCAATGCAGTTTGCTGAAGCCTCTTTTGCCCCCCCTCAATGCAGTTTGCTGAAGCCTCTTTTGCCCCCTCTTTCCTTTCCCCTGTTTCTCTCCCGTCTTCCAGCCCCCCAAGTTTGACGGCAGGGAGGCGGCAGAGAGGGTGGCAACACCAGGAGTGGCGGTTGGGTTGGTGTGGACGGCAGTTGGTGGCGAAGTGCAGTTCGTTACATTCCCTTTTTGCCCCCGCCTTCCTTTCCCCTGTTTCTCTTCCTTTCCTTCCCCCCTCTCCCTTCTCTCAGCCACCCAAGTTTGATGGCAGGGAGGCAGCAGAGAGGGTGGCAACCCCAGGGGTGGCGGTTGGGCTGGTGTGGACGGCAGTAGGTGGCGAGGTGCAGTCCGTTGAATCCCCTTTTGCCCCCCTCTTTCCTTTCCCCTGTCTCTCTCCCTTCCCCTCTCTCTTCTCTCCTCTCCCCTCTCCCCTCTCCCCATCTCAGCCTCCCAAGTTTGATGGCAGGGAGGCAGCAGAGAGAGTTGCAACCCCGGGAGTGGCGGTGGGGCTGGTGTGGACGGCAGTGGCGGGCGAAGTGCAGTTCGTTGAAGCCTCTCCCTTGTCTCATCATTCATCCCTCTCTGTTCCCTTACTTTGTGCGACATCATCCCCGTTCCTGCCCCATCTCAGCCTCCCAAGTTTGACGGCAGGGAGGCAGCAGAGAGGGTTGCGACGCCGGGAGTGGCGGTGGGGCTGGTGTGGACCGCAGTGGGGGGGGAAGTGCAGTTCGTTGAAGCGACAGACATGGTGGGGAAGGGAGAGCTGCATCTGACAGGACAGCTGGGGGACGTCATTAAGGAGTCAGCCCAGATTGCACTCACTTGGGTGAGCTTATAACGAGCATGTGTATGAAGCTGGAGGGGCATGAGCGGCAGTGGGGGGGGTGGGGCAAGGTGCAGTTTGTAGAAGCGGCAGACATGGTGGGGAAGGGGAGCTGCATTTGACTGGACAGCTGGGGGACGTCATTAAAGAATCGGCCCAGATTGCTCTCACCTGGTGAGTGAGTTTATAACGAATATAGAAGTGTGAGACGAGTTTTGAGGCGCCTCAAAAGTGAGTTTATAACGAATATAGAAGTGTGAGACGAGGTTGGAATACAAGGAGTGGACGGGTGGGGAGAGACATGGGCAAAAGTGGGGGGCGAGGTGCAGTTTGACTGGACAACTGGGAGATGTGATCAAAGAGTCTGCCCAGATTGCTCTCGCCTGGGTAAGCTTATAACGAGTATGTGTATGAAGCTGGAGAGGCATGAGCGGCAGTGGGGGGCGAGGTGCAGTTTGTTGAAGCTACAGACAGCTGGGGGGTGTCATTCAAGACCGAAAGGGTGGGGAAGGGAGAGCTGCATTTGACAGGGCAGCTGGGAGAGGTGTTCAAGGAGTCCACCTAAATTGTGCTCACTGGATAAGTTTAGAATGAATATGAATCGCATTAAGTGTATTTGGTTGAGTTCATATGGGTGAGGTTTCCAGGGATGGGAGGGTGGAGAGGCATGAGCAGAGCCGCAGTTGGGGGCGAGGTGCACCGTGCAGTTTTTCCGAAGCGACAGAGACGGTGGGGAAGGGGAAGAGCTGCATCTGACTGGGCAATGTGGTTAACAATGTTGTCTGCATCTGGTTAAAGCCCGCGGCCCAAATTGCGGGCCGCGCGGGTCAAGCTTTTAAAACTTGACGAACTAGTGTTTGCAAGGTTTGAAAAAAAAGCCAGCCTGCAATTTGGGACTTTTGGGAACTGAACCAACCCCCAGGGCGAAATACGAGGGCGGGCTGGGTCGGCGAAAAAAACGAAAAAAAAAAAAAAAAAAAAAAAAAGCGAATTCGGAATCTTTCGCCAAAACCCAGACCATCAAAACCCCCTCGCGTCAACCATTGTAATGAAATGATTTTTGTGTCAATTTTTGAGGCGCCTCAAGAAGCTGCATCTGACTGGGCAATGTGGTTAACAGTGTTTTCTGCATGTGCGCCATTGTAATGAGGTGATTTCCGTGTCAACTCAGAGGTGCAGTTCTTTACCCCAATCCCCTGCCTTCTTTCCCCCAACCCGCTCAGGTCCGTGCCAGGGCAGCCGAACTCTTCCCACCACCACCCTCCACCTCCTCCGCCCCCTCCGCCCCCTCCGCCCCCTCCTCCTCTCCTCCGCCTCTCACCTCATCAGACCACCCATTCAATGACGCCACGCCGTCTCTGCTGACCACCTCACCCCTCTCTTCCTTGTCTCCCCTCTTCCTCATCCACTCTCCCTTTTCTGCCCTTTCTGTTTCCAATTCCCTCTTTAATTTTTCTCAACCCCCTCAGGTCCGTGCCAGGGCAGCAGAGCTCTTCCCACCAACCCCTACCTCCCCTTCCTCTCTTCCTCATCCCCTCTCTTTCTCCCCTACTTCCCCAATCCCCTCCCTACTTTGTCCCATTCCCCCTCAGGTCCGAGCCAGGGCAGCAGAGCTCTTCCCACCACCCCCTACCTCCACCCCTCCCTCCTCTCCTCCGCCATTCACCCCATCAGACCATTTATTCGATGACTCGCTCCTGCTCCTGATCACCTTCCCCTTCCCTCTCTTCCTCAACCCTGATATTTTCCCCCCTCCTTTCTTCACAATGCCCTGTATACGTCACCCCGACCCTCTCAGGTCCGTGCCAGGGCAGCAGAGCTCTTCCCACCACCCCCTACCTCCACCCCTCCCTCCTCCTCCTCTCCGCCTTTCACACCATCAGACCATCCCTTCGATGACACCACACCTGCTGCTCCCGACCACCTCCCTCCTCTCGGCCCCTACGGCGCAGTCTCCTCCTCCCCCGCCTCTCCCCCTACTGTCGTCCCCACCATCCATCCCTCCTCCTTTGCTCCTCCTGCTGTCTCCGCTACTCCTGCTGTTGCTGCTTCTGGTACTCATGCCACTGCTGCTTCTCGCTCTGCTGCTCCGTCTGCCACTGCTGCTGCTTCTCGCTCTGCTGCTCCGTCTGCTGCTGCTGCTGCAGTTGTTGCTGCTTCTCCCTCGGCCGCTGCTGATGCTTCTGCTTATGCGATCATGGCCTACCCGAGCACTGCTGCTATTACCAACGGCAAGAGCAGCAGTAGCAGCATCCGCCGTGGCAGCAACATCGTCGCATCATCAGCTGGCCCTGTGCCTCTCCCTCGCAATCTCATGGAGGGGCGAGACATTCACATCCACTTCCCCGCAGGTAAGGCATTGCACGCACTTGTGCTCTGCTGCAAGAAGCCACATGACGACTGCTATAATGGCAACAGCCACATTTGTTGCCAGTGGCAAGAGCAGCAGTTCCCCCCATCTTCCTCCTCCTCGACCAACCCCGTGCCTCTCCCTCGCAACCTCATGGAGGGACGAGACACTCACATCCACTTCCCCGCAGGTAACACTTGCGCTTTCCAAATTGAACCCATTTCTAACTTCCAACACATTACATATGCTGCCTCCGATCTCTTAGGTGAGCATATGTAATCTCTCCAATCCGAATTTGGTTGGCTTTCTGAGTTCAACTTGCAACTATTTTTTTAGAATTCTCAAAAATATGTTTTTTTTAGAATTCTCAAAAATCTGTTTTTTTAGAATTCTCTCCTCTCCAACCTCTGTCTGCACTGCAACATGCTAGAAATCCACTTGCTGGGTTTTTCAAGCTCGGGTTCTCTTGCCTTACCACTCACGCACTCCAGGTGCTGTGCCCAAGGACAGCCCTTCGGCCGGAGTTACGCTGGTAACCGCGCTCGTGTCTCTCCTCAATGGACTGATCTCCCTTGTGTTGCCTTCCCTCCCACTCACTCCAGGTGCTGTGCCCAAGGACGGCCCATCGGCTGGTGTTACGCTGGTAACTGCACTCGTGTCTCTCCTCTCCAACCGCTGTGTGCGGTCCGACACGGCTATGACCGGCGAGCTCACACTCAGAGGCCTGGTGCTGCCTGTAGGAGGGGTTAAGGAGAAGGTGAGTTCTCATCAGTGCACCACTGTCTCTCCTCTCCTCTCCTCTCCAATCGCTGTGTGCGCTGGTGTTACGCTGGTAACCGCACTCGTGTCTCTCGTCTCCAACCGCTGTGTGCGCTCCGACACGGCCATGACTGGGGAGTTGACGTTCAGAGGGCTGGTGCTGCCTGTTGGGGGCGTGAAGGAGAAGGTGAGTGTGGTTGCAATGGTGCGCAATGGTGCAAATGAGAATGGAAAAATTCTCATAATCTCCTGCCTTGCATTTCCATCACAGTTGCACTTGGCCGCATGCATTCACTCCGCCTTCCTTCATCTCTCAGTCATATTCCTGCCTCTCCCTCTTCTTTTCTGCCCGTTCTCCTGCTTCCCTTGTTTTCCTCTTTTTCCTTTTTCGCTGTTCAGATTCTCGCTGCCCATCGCTGCGGCATCAGGCGAGTTATTCTGCCCGAAAAGAACATCAAGGATCTCCAGGAGGTGCCAGCTGCTGTGCTGGCATGCATGGAGGTAGGCTGACGTGGCATGTGTGTAAGTTGGATGATGTGGCATCATGCATGGATGTAGGATAACAAGGCATGTGTGCAAATGGGATGATTTGGCATCATGCCTGGTGGTAGGATACTATGGCAAGCATGGCGGTAAGATGCCATGTCCTGTGCCAAAATGGGTTGACTAGGCATGCATGTGAGTGCTGCTTGCCTGCAGAGGGAATGATTTTGTGTTAATGGGGGCATGAATGGTCGCATTGCATCCGTAAGTAGGTTTAGGACAATGGATATTCCGCTCTGGGTAAGAAAGGATGTACAGGTGTCGGTGAATGGCTGTACTAATGAAGCGAGCATTGGAGGTGGTGGTGCCCTGAATGCATGCCATTTGTCCTGGAAATGTGTCCGTTATATCCTCGTGGTCTTTTTTCATGTCAGATCCTTCCAACAAAGCGAGTTGAAGAAGTGCTTGAAGAGGCGTTTGAGGGTGGCAGCCCCATCGGCCCTCGCAGCCGTATTTAGCAAGCTGTTTCCGGTTTCTGTAGCCTGGGTCAATTGCATGCTCTAATCTACGGAGCACGAAAGTGAAAATGGTAATATACCGGTGCTACATCCTATCTATACAATATTTTTATTGCTCAGACCTTATGCCTTTAGCGCAGTGCTCCTTTTTGCTGTGATTTTGATCCAGGGTGTGTAGTTCGTGAATTGTTAGCGAATGCGTTCGTTGTATTCTCGCAACCGCGAATCCAACCACAAGGTCGGTTGCGCCGTTCCCCCATCACCCAATCACTGTGCGTGTTCGCCGATTCTCCCCGCCCGCATCCCCCCACCTTTCCGCTTTCCCCGCCATGCCTCAGCGCCGATTCTCGATGCTCCGCTTGCACCCACAAAATCCGCAACCGACAACAGTAGATTCCTTTTCCTTAGCGAATCTGGGACTGACTGCTGATCCCGCAACTTACGCCGCGGCTTCAGGTTATGCGCTGTAGATTATTCTACGTACACTGTTAGCCTGTCACCCAGCACTTGCGGGGTCCTCCAGTCTCTTTCGCCTGTCTCTGGGAACGTTTAGTCAGTTTTCTCCCATCTTTCGTCCTGTCTCTGCCAGTTCGCCGAGTTAGCTACTACTGTTACCCCACACTCCGAATCTTGTACGAGTGTTGCCGTTGACGTTTCGTCGCATTGGAGAGACAGCCTCGGTAGACGTTGATACTTTAATTGACACGTCAAGATGAGTCCGAATGACGTGGCCGAGAAGCTGGCTGACGCCTCGTTGGCTGACGCCGCGCCAGCAGCCGACGCCGCTGCCGCCGCTTCCGCGAAACCCGAGAAAGCCGCCAAAGCGAAGGGTGCTGACAAGGCCGCCGCCGCCGCGGCTGCCGCTGCGAAAGAGGCGGCGAAGATCGCGCCGGAGATTCAGGCGTTTTTCAAGAGGAGGATCGAGATGTTCGAGGCGCTTCAGAAGGAGCAGGCAGAGCAGAGGGCGAAGATCGCTGGCGATCCGATCAAGTGAGATCAATTCGTTTAGTTTGTGACAATAACTCGCGTGACAGTAACGATAGAGGAAAATGAATAGTTAGGTGGACGAGGCCGCGCAGAGAGAGAAAACCGCTGGCGATCCGTTCACGTAAGGTCAAAGCGTGACAATGCTGAAAAGTCAGGAAAAAGGAAGCAAATCGGGTACCACTGAGGGAATGCAGGGTTTTATGGAGGTTTCTCTTGCACCTGCTAATACTCATCCGATCCAATCCGTGACTCCACCCACCCCACCCCTTCCACCCTCCCCCCACCTCCCTCCTTCCCACCTCTTCCCCTCTGCCCCCCCCCACCGTTTGTGTCACGTTCGCTAGGATCACCCTGCCCGACGGTGCTGTGAAGGAGGGCAAGAAGTGGGAGACCTCCCCGATGGACGTGGCGAAGGGCATCTCGCAGGGACTCGCCAACAGTGCCATCATCTCCAAGGTGAGAGAGAGGTTGACGTCCAAGTGAGAGTGCTATTGGTCGCAGTCAAGTTGCGAGTGACGGTGGTGTTATGTAGGACTGATAGTGGGGAGCCTCTCCAATGGACGTGGCGAAGGGCATCTCGCAGGGGATCGCCAACAGCGCCATCATCTCCAAGGTGAGAGCAAGCTCCTTCGAGTTGAGCACCCAGGTGAGCAGCAGCAGGTTTGGTCGCGGTGAATGCATCCACGAGTGGCAGTGCTGTGATTTGATCCCAAGGAGGGCAAGAAGTGGGAGACCTCCCCAATGGACGTGGCGAAGGGCATGTCGCAGGGACTCGCCAACAGTGCCATCATCTCCAAGGTGAGAGCTGCTTGGGGGTCGGAGATACATTCAGGTGAACATGCAGGTGAGACTAGTGGGAGACCTCCCCAATGGACGTGGCGAAGGGCATCTCGCGAGCGAGGCACGTTGTGGGACATGTGTCGGGTTTCGGAGCGTGACTGCTCGCTGCAGCTGCCCTCTCTTGACCAAACCGCCTTCTTTCAATCCATACGTACGTGTGTCACTCCTCCTCACTCACTACCTTCCTCTTCACAGGTGGATGGCGTGTTGTGGGACATGTGTCGCCCTCTGCAGGGCGACTGCTCGCTGCAGCTCTTCCCTCGTGACCAAACCTCGCCAACTCCTCCTGTTGAAATCCTATTGTTCATGCCCATCTCTCCCTTTCCCCTCCCGTTGACAGGTGGATGGCGTGTTTTGGGACATGCGTCCCCCTTGGAGGGGTCCTGCTCGCTGCAGCTCTTCCCTCTTCCAACTCCTCTCCTCTCCCTCATTTCGTTTAATATAACTCATGCTTCTCGCTCCTCCCCTCCCTCCCGTTGACAGGTGGATGGCGTGTTGTGGGACATGTGTCGCCCCCTGGAAGGTGACTGCGCGCTGCAGCTGTTCACGTTTGAGGACGACGAGGGGAGGGACACCTTCTGGCACTCCAGCGCTCATATTTTGGGAGAGGTACGCGTTATATGCAGTACTTGTACGCGTTATAGGCATCCCTTGGTCCCTCCTGGTAGTCACGACAGTAGCCCCTAGGAGCCCCCTGGAAGGTGACTGCGCGCTGCAGCTGTTCACATTTGAGGACGACGAGGGGAGGGACACCTTCTGCCACTCCAGCGCTCACATCCTGGGGGAGGTACGCGTTATAATGACTACTTGTACGCGTTATTGAGCAGTATCTTACGTGCTACTAGAACAGTTCGTAAAACGGTGCAAGCGTCCTTTTTAATTGCCCTCGTTGTATCTGTGCTACCTTTCTCTCTCTCCTTCCTTCCCCCAGGCTCTAGAGCAGGAGTACGGGTGCCACCTGTGCATTGGTTGGGTGTCCCAGCCTCCTTCTGTGCTCTTATCCTCTTGTTCCCATCCGATATGCGTTCCCTCTTCTCTTCCTCCTTCTCCTCTCCTCTTCTCCCTTCTCCCAGGCTCTGGAGCAGGAGTACGGGTGCCACCTATGCATTGGGCCGTGCACGACACGAGGCGAGGTGAGGGGCGTGGGGAAGCGGGGAGCGAGGAAGGGAAGAGGAAGGGAAGGGAAGGAGGGGAGGGAAGGGATGCAAGGGAGGGGAGGGAAGGGTAGCAAGGGAGGGGAGGGAAGGGAGCAAGGGAGGGAGTGCGGGTGCCACCTGTGCATTGGGCCGTGCACCACACGAGGCGAGGTGAGAAGAAGTGGGAGAAATGGGAGGAATGAAGGAATGAATTACAGGAAGGGAGAAAAAGGGAGGGAAGGGAGGAAGGCAGGTGTGGGGTATAAGGTCGTTGTGCATTGGGTGCACCACACAAGGCGAGGTGAGAGAAAGTGGAGAGGAACGGGAGGAGGGGAAGTGAAGAGCATGGGGAGGAGGATAAATAGGGAGGTAAGAGGGTGCAGGTGCCAGCAAGCCACCTGTGCATTGGGCTCATAACAAAGGTTTTACTGCGACTCTCACCCCACCCATTTTTTAGAGAGCGCACTCACTCTCAGCAACGAGTATTTCAAGGCCATTGATGGCAAGGCGGAGAATGCTCACTTGCACAGTGCTTGTGCTATCCTATCTATCTCCCCTACGCACCCGCTCCTGCTTCCTCCTCTGTGACAGGGATTCTACTATGACGCGTTTTATGGGGACCGCACGCTCAACGACGAGCACTTCAAGGCCATTGAGGGCAAGGCAGGGAAGGCTCATGTCCTGCTATGTTTCCATCCATCTCTCTCGCCCCCTCTGTTTTCCTCTCCATACACAGGGGTTCTACTATGATGCGTTTTACGGGGAACGCACGCTCAACGACGAGCATTTCAAGGCCATTGAGGGCAAGGCGGGCAAGGCAGCCAAGGAGAAGCAGGCGTTTGAGCGGATCGAGGTGACGCGGCAGCAGGCGCTCGAGATGTTCGCTGATAACCCCTTCAAGGTGAGAAGATGAGCTGGTGAAAGGTGTGTGTGTGTGTGTGTGTTAGACGGCTCAATCAAACAAGAATTGGAGAAGCAGGCGTTTGAGTGCTCGAGGTGACGAGGCAGTAGGCTCGCTGATAACCCCTTCAAGGTGAGGAGATATAAGGTTCAAAAGGAGTTGATAAGCTGTTCAAGGTGAGGTGATAAGCTGTTGAAAGGTGCGTTGTGAGACGGCTCAAAAGGCGGGCAAGGCTGCCAAGGAGAAGCAGGCGTTTGAGCGCATCGAAGTCACAAGGCAGCAGGCTCTCGAGATGTTCGCCCATAACCCGTTCAGGGTGAGAAGACTTCTGTGTCAGCTCAACTTAAGGCCATTGAGGGCAAGGCGGGCAAGGAGAAGCAGGCTTTGTGCGTCGAGGTGACGCGGGCGGCAGCAGGCGCTTGAGATGTTTGCTGATAACCCGTTCAAGGTGAGAAGACTTCTGTGTCAGCTCAACTTAAGGCCATTGAGGACAAGGCAGGCAAGGCAAGGCAGCCAAGGAGAAGCAGGCGTTTGAGCGGATCGAGGTGACGCAGGCGGCAGCAGGCGCTCGAGATCATCACCTACCTACTGCCTGCTCGATCATCATCTCCTCTTGGAGGACAAGCCCATCACGCTGTACCGCTGCGTGTAGAAAGAACATTCTTGAGACGTCTAAAAAATGTTCTTTCTACACGTGCATCGAGGTGACGCGGGGGGGGGGGCGGCAGCAGGCGCTCGAGATCATCACCTACCTACTGCCCGCTCGATCATCATCTCCTCTTGGAGATCATCAAGGACCTCCCAGAGGACAAGACCATCACCGTGTACCGCTGCGGCCCGCTGGTTGATCTCTGATGACCTGTGCCTAGCATTACTCACACTGTCCCATGTGAGACCCTACTCTGACATGTACCCTATACCCTCAACCCCGTGTTCTCTCGTCCCCCATCAGGTGGAGATTATCAAGGACCTCCCAGAGGACAAGACCATCACCGTGTACCGCTGCGGGCCCTTGGTTGATCTGTGCCGTGGCCCCCACATCCCCAACACTTCCCATGTCAAGGCTTTCGCCTGCCTCAAGGTGGGTCTAGAGCGGTTCAGAGTGGTTCAGTGTAGCGGTACAGAGAATTTGGTAGTTGATCTGTGCTGCAGCCCCCGCATCCCCAAAACTGCCCACGTCAAGGCATTCGCCTGCCTCAAGGTGGGTGCAGGGCGGTTCAGAGTGGTTCAGCAAGGTCCAGAGATGTCCAGAGCGGTTCAGAGGGATTGTAAGTGGTTGCGTTGCCCACGTCAAGGCCTTCGCTTGTTTCAAGATGAATTAGGGCTTTGAAACTTCTCACTCTCCCCTTTCTCTCTCTCCCCCCTTTTTCCCTTCTCCTGTCGCCCTGCTGTGGGTTCTGAGCAGGCATCAGCATCGTATTGGAGGGGGCAGTCAGACAGAGAGAGCTTGCAGCGAGTGTACGGCATCTCCTATCCCGACAGCAAGAAGCTCAAGGTGAGATATTTCTGTGGAGTTGGGTTACTGGTCACCTCAGGCCAACAGAGAGAGCTTGCAGCGAACATACGGCACACACACAGCCTCTTTCTTTTGTTCTCCCACCACCCATCACTTCCCCTTTCTCCCTGCACCTCCACCACCACCCACCACTAGGAGTACCTGCACGTGTTGGAGGAGGCCAAGAAGCGAGACCACCTTATCATTGCAATCACTCGTTATCTCACCCCACCCCTCTCCACCCCCTTCCACCCCTCTCCACCCCTCACATTGCACCAGGAGTACCTGCACGTGTTAGAGGAGGCCAAGAAGCGAGATCATCGTGTTGTTGGACTTGCGCAGGACCTCTTCTTCTTCCACCCGCTTAGGTACCGTCATATCAGTAACATCATCTAGGTGACATGAATTCATGTGGCAGCAACAACATTGATGGTAACTGGTTTTAGCTTATACCTTTCTTCAGACCACCGCATGGTGGGGCTCCCACAGGACCTTTTCTTCTTCCACCCGCTCAGGTACTGCTTTCCACTGATTCATTTGCTTACCATCGTCCGAGTAAACACCATCGAGGTTTCTGCTAACTGGTTTTGGCTAGTACCAGTTACGACCTGCTCATAAGACATCCCCTGTCTCCCCCCCTCTCTCCTCCCCCGAAATCCACCCACTCGTATGCCGTCCTCCACCTGCTCATAAGACATCCCCTTCCTCCACCTTGCTTTTTCCCATGGCATGCAGCCCTGGAAGCTGCTTCTTCCTGCCGCATGGAGCGCGGATATACAGCAAGCTGGTGGGGTTCATCCAGGGCTGACCCACCCACTCCCATCTACTCTCCCCCTACATCCCCTCCCCTCCCTGCCTGCCTGCAGCCCTGGAAGCTGCTTCTTCCTGCCGCATGGAGCGCGGATATACAGCAAGCTGGTGGGGTTCATCCAGGGCCCATGGAGTGTAAAAGTCTTTCTTCCCGCTCACCCCCGTCTACTCTCCTCGTTTCTCCCACCCTTTTTCCCTGCCTGCAGCCCCGGAAGCTGCTTCTTTCTACCGCACGGCGCGCGGATATACAACAAGCTCGTTGGGTTCATCCAGGGCGAATACAGGAAGCGAGGCTACCACGAGGTGAGGGGGGGGGAGAAGATGGGAGGGCGAAGATATGGGAGGGAGGGAGGTGGTGGGAGGTGAGAATTAGTGTTGTGCTGCTGATGCTGCTTCCTGCCGCATGGTGCGCGGATATACGACAAACTGGTGGGGTTCATCCAGGGCGAGTACCGGAAGCGAGGCTACCACAAGGTGAGTAAGGGGGAATGGAAGTGAGGGGGGGTGGAGTGGGAGGGCTCCTGCTGTTGCTGCTGCGCCCCTCGTCTCCTCACCTATGTTTCCTCCTACCCTCCTCTTCCCACCCCTCCACAACATCATCAGGTCGTGACGCCTAACATGTTCAACATGGAGCTGTGGAACATCTCAGGCCACCCGGCCATGCAGCCATGCATCTCAGGCCACCCGGCCATGCAGCCATGCATCTCAGGCCACCCGGCCATGCAGCCATGCATCTCAGGCCACGCGGCCAACTACAAGAAGCCTGTGCAGGCTGTGATTCTATTGCGCCCTGTTTCTCCTCGCTTATGTTTCCTCCTACCCTCCTTTTCCCATCCCCCCACAACATCATCAGGTAGTCACCCCCAACATGTTCAACATGGAGCTGTGGAACATCTCAGGCCACGCGGCCAACTACAAGGAGAACATGTTTGTGTTCGATGTGGAGAAGCAGGAGTTTGGGCTCAAGCCCATGAACTGCCCCGGCCACTGCCTCATGTTCGCCCACCGCGTGCGCTCCTACCGAGGTAAGTACTACAGAATGCCCCTTTAATTCTGAACCTTAAACCCTCTACCCTGGGCTTAAACCCGTGCGGCCAACTACAAGGAGAACATGTTTGTGTTCGATGTGGAGAAGCAGGAGTTCGGGTTAAAGCCCATGAACTGCCCCGGCCACTGCCTCATGTTCGCGCATAGGGTCCGCTCCTATCGAGGTAAGTACAGAATATCTGTCCCTTGATTCACCCTAGGTGCTGAAATCCTAAATCCTAAACCCTGAAACCCTGAGCCCGTTCAAGGGTCACGCAGCCAACTACAAGAAGAACATGTTTGTGTTCGATGTGGAGAAGCAGGAGTTTGGGCTCAAGCCCATGAACTGCCCCGGCCACTGCCTCATGTTTGCGCATAGGGTGCGCTCGCTCATACCGAGGTGTGTACTACATACAGAGAGTCCCTCAAAGTCAAACCCTATAGCCTAACCCTGGACCCGCGCGGCCAACTACAAGGAGAACATGTTTGTGTTGATGTGGAGAAGCAGGAGTTCGGCTGAAACCCATGAACTGCCCCGGCCACTGCCTCATGAGCTCTACAGAGTGGTACAGTGCGGTGCGGTGCGGTGCAGTGTTTGTGCAGTTACAAGGGCTGGAGTTTTGGCTCAAGCCCATGAACCGCCCTCTTGTTCCCCTGCATCCATACCCTTATCCCTTTCTCCTGAACTCACCAGAGCTGCCCCTCCGATTCGCTGACTTTGGCGTGTTCCACCGCAATGAGCTCTCTGGCGCTCTCACTTGCTTGCTTCATCCCGCCTCCCTTCATCCACCCCCCTTTTCCCTCTTCCATCCCTTCTCCTGTCCCCACCAGAGCTGCCACTCCGCTTCGCTGACTTCGGGGTGCTGCACCGCAACGAGCTCTCTGGTGCTCTCACGGGCCTCACACGCGTGCGACGGTTCCAGCAGGTGAGGGGCTGACTGGGGAAGGTTCTAACTGGGGAGCAGGAGGGGGCTGGCTGGCTGGCAGGCACGGGTTACCTAGAAGGTAGTGGCTTAGCTGTGGCAAGAGGTCAGCTGGTCAAAGCTCAGTGGCGCTCTCACCGGCCTCACGCGTGTGTGCAGGTTGCGACAGGTGAGGGGCTGGCGGCAGGGGTGAGCGACATGCTGTCAAAGCGGCTCCATTGCCCACCATGCACCTTCTTCCTTCCCTGCTTGCTCTCGTGTTTTCACCCCAACCACCCCCTGCTCCCCCACCCAGGACGATGCGCACATCTTCTGTGAGGAGAGCTAGGTGGAGGCGGAGGTCAGTGACGTGCTGTGAGCGGCGCTTCACTTCTGACCTGCTATCTCTAATGTCCCCTGCTGTCCTCCTCCCTCTCCCCACCTCCTCCTGGTCTTGCCTTGTCTTGTTTCCCCTCACTCCCAGGACGATGCGCACATCTTTTGTGAGGAGACCCAGGTGGAGGCAGAAGTCAGTGACGTGCTGGACTTCCTGCAGACCGTCTACGGCATCTTTGGCTTCACCTTCGACCTGGAGCTATCCACGGTGAGTAATGGGCCTATGTGTGTGGTGTGGTTGGGTGGGATCAGGTTGGGTGGGATCAGGTTGGGTGGGGATGGGTAGAAGAGGAGGTCAGTGACGTGCTGGACTTCCTGCAGACCGTCTACGGCATCTTTGGCTTCACCTTCGACCTGGAGCTGTCTACGGTGAGCGTGAAGTGAAGCTGCTCCTTACAGTGTGAGAAAGTGGTGCTCTGCAGTGCCGTGCCTCACTGCTGGACTTGCTGCAGACTGTCTACGGCATCTTTGGCTTCACCTTCGATTTGGAGCTCTCTACGGTGAGTCCATCAGCCCATGCACTGTGGCGCATAGAGGGTTTGTCAGCATGTGTGTGTGAGTGTGGGCGGAGGTGAGTGACGTGCGCTGGACTTCCTGCAGACTGTCTACGGCGTCTTTGGGTTCATCTTCGACCTCAAGCCCATAAGCCTATACACTGCTGGGACCGAGCCGAAGCTGCTCTCACCAAGTCTCTAAACGCGTTCGGGCGGCCGTGGCAGATCAACGCGGGCGACGGGGCGTTCTACTGATGGAGGGAAGGCACTCACCCATTGTGTGCCTGTCTCCCACTTCCCTCCTCCCTCCTCCCGTTCCTCCAGAGCCCAGAGAAGCACCTGGGGGAAGTCAAGACGTGGGACCGTGCAGAGGCCGCCCTGACCAAGTCGCTGAACGCGTTTCTCCTCCCCCTCTCCCGTTCCCCATTCAGCGTCCAGAGAAGCACCTGGGGGAGGTGGAGACGTGGGACCGTGCAGTGGCCGCCCTCACCAAGTCCCTGAACGCGTTCGGGCGGCCGTGGCAGATCAACGCGGGCGACGGGGCGTTCTACAGAGGGAAAGCACTCACTCCCTCACTGTGTGCCTGTCTCCCACCATCCACCCCGCCTCCCTGTCCTCCAGCGCCCAGAGCAGCACCTGGGTGAGGTGGAGACGTGGGACCGCGCCGAGGCTGCCCTGACCAAGTCGCTGAACGCGTTTGGGCGGCCGTGGCAGATCAACGCGGGAGACGGGGCGTTCTACAGAGGGAAAGCACTCACTTTCTCACTGTGCGCCTGTCTTGTCTCCCACCACCTTCCATCCCTGCCATCCCATCGTCTCCCACCCCAACCAGCGCCCAGAGAAGCATCTGGGGGAGGTGGAGACGTGGGACCGCGCCGAAGCGGCCCTCACGAAGTCCCTAAACGCGTTCGGGCGGCCGTGGCAGATCAACGCGGGCGACGGGGCGTTCTACGGGCCCAAGATTGACATCACGGTGTATGATGCGCTCAAGAGGAAGCACCAGTGCGCCACCATCCAGCTCGACTTCCAACTGCCCATCCGCTTCAAATTGGAATACTCGGCGGACGACGAGGCCGCAGGCAGGAAGCGACCGGTGAGTGTGAAACACGTCCTCTGCTGGCTGTTGAGGCGCCTCAAAGAGACTTCCAGCTGCCCATCCGTTTCAAGCTCGAATACTCTGCTGACGACGAGGCAGCCGGCAGGAAGCGACCGGTGAGTGTGAAACACGTCCTCTGCTGGCTGTTGAGGCGCCTCAAAGAGACTTCCAGCTGCCCATCCGTTTCAAGCTCGAATACTCTGCTGACGACGAGGCAGCCGGCAGGAAGCGACCGGTGAGTGTGAGCCTGACCGGTGAGTGTGAGCCTGACCGGTGAGTGTGAGCCTGACCGGTGAGTGTGAGCCTGACCGGTGAGTGTGAGCCTGACCGGTGAGTGTGAGCCTGACCGGTGAGTGTGAGCCTGACCGGTGAGTGTGAGCCTGACCGGTGAGTGTGAAACACGTCCTCTGCTGGCTGTTGAAGCGACCGGTGAGTGTGAGCCCGAGTCCATCAGGCCGCAGGCTGTCTGTCGGTGGGAGAAAAGTGGTCAACAACAGGGCAGTCAGAAGCCCTGTTGTACAGGTGGGTAGAGTGGAGGTGGGGGCGTTCCGTTCTACGGGCCCAAGATTGACATCTTGGTGTATGATGCGCTCAAGAGGAAGCACCAGTGCGCCACCATCCAGCTCGACTTCCAACTGCCCATCCGCTTCAAGCTTGAATACTCCGCTGACGATGAGGCTGCAGGGAGGAAGCAACCGGTACCTGTGCTCTGAAACCAATAGACCGCACGCTGTAGGCCAGTGAGTGTTGAGTGTTGAGCCGTGAAGCCCAAGGAGGAAGCACCAGTGCGCCACCATCCAGCTCGATTTTCAACTTCCCATCCGCTTCAAACTGGAATGCTCTGCTGACGATGAGGCCGCAGGCAGGAAGCCCCCGGTACGTGGGACCGAAACCATCAAGCTTCAAGCTCTTTGGGGGCCTGGAGAACTTCAGTTCAGTCACGAGCCAGTGGCCCTTCTGGCTTCTCAGCCCCTCTTCTGTCCCTCTCACTCTCCTTTTCCGCCTCTCCCTCGTGCCTTGCAACCCACTCTCCCAGGTCATCATCCATCGTGCCATCCTGGGTTCAGTGGAGCGCATGTTTGCCATCCTCCTGGAGCACTTCGCTGGCAAGTGGCCCTTCTGGCTGAGCCCTCGCCAGGTCACCGTGTGCCCCGTCTCTGAGAAGTACTCGCAATACGCCACCAAGGTACGTTTTCTAGTTCCTATGCACACTCTTGTCACTGCAGCAGCAATGTGACTGTTATGTGTTGCTCCTGTCAAGGGTGCACGCACCTTTCTGGCTGAGTCCCCGCCAGGTCACCGTGTACTCCGTCTCCGAAAAGTACTCGCAATACGCCACCAAGGTGAGGCTTGAGAGGGATAGGCACCCCGTGTGAGGGTGTGTGTGGCTACCAGGTCATCGCGTGCCCCGTCTCTGAGAAGTACTCCCTATACGTTACCAAGGTACACTCTTTTCTACTCCAGCAATGTGACTGTATGGTTGGGTTGGTACTCTTTACGGGTGCACACTGGCTGAGCCCCCGCCAGGTCACCGTGTGCCCCGTCTCTGAGAAGTACTCGCAATACGCCACCAAGGTTAGTAAATGGGACGGCTAAGCTCGTATACGCTAGTTGCGTGACTAGAATGGGTTGTTACTGTAAGAGGTGGTGCATGAACCTCATCAGTGGCCTTTCTGGCTGAGTCCCCGCCAGGTCACCGTGTGCCCCGTCTCCAAAAAGTACTCCATATACGCCACCAAGGTGAGTTGGTGGGACGGCTTGTATACAATGCACCACCAAGGTACGCTCGTTGCAGTGCAGCAATGTGACTGTTATGGTTGGGGTGCTCCTCTGAGAGGGTGCACGCACACACCAAGGTAGACAAATAGCGGTCCCCAGAAGGTCACTGTGTGCCTTCTCCCAGACAATGTTTCCATGTTCCAGTATGTTCTTTCACCTTTATGTAGAGCTTGAGGGTTCTCAAAAGCTGTGCGTGTTACTGTTGATGTTTTATCTTTATTCTGATTCTTTATTATGTCCTTTGATGTCTGATTATGATATGCGTTTTCAGGTGCGGGATGAGATCCATGCTGCTGGCTTTGATGTCGAGGCCGATCTCTCCGACCGGAAGCTTCAGAAGAAGGTTCGTTTTCTGGTTACACTGTTACACTGCAACTGCAACTTTCATTGTACCTCTGATGATGCTGTGCTTTTGCACGCAACTCCACTACTCTAATAGCTCCTATTTCTTCTTTTGAGTCGACTCAAAAGCACTGTTACACTGCAACTGCAACTTTCATTGTACCTCTGATGATGCTGTGCTGTTGCATGCAACTCCACTACTCTAATAGCTCCTATTTCTTCTTTTGAGTCGACTCAAAAGCACTGTTACACTGCAACTGCAACTTTCATTGTACCTCTGATGATGCTGTGCTTTTGCATGCAACTCCACTACTCTAATAGCTCCTATTTCTTTCCGCCGGTTATCTCTCACCTTGACATGCTGAACTGAACTGAACCCATTTTGACCCATCATTACTGTCACACCTGCTAGTGTCACACCCGCTATTGTAATGCCCGCTATTGTCTCACCTGCGAATAACACACCCGCTATTGTCTCACCTGCGAATGTCACACCCGTGACCCGCTATTGTCACAGGTGCGGGAGGCCCAGCTGGCCCAGTTCAACTACATCCTGGTAGTGGGCGCGGAGGAGGAGGCACAGGGCTCGGTGAGTTGAGAATTGAATGGTTTGCTTCAGAGAGCTAAGGGAGTCATGGAGTACTGCCAGAGGGGAAGTGAAGTCAGTTCAACTACATCCTGGTGGTTGGGGCTGAGGAGGAGGCACAGGGCTCAGTGAGGTGAAGTTTACTGGTAGTTGAACTTCAGAGAGCGGAGGGAGATGGGGGGAGATGAGGGAGTCAGAGGGAGTATGAGGGAGTATGAGGGAGTATGAAGCCCAGCTGGCCCAGTTCAACTACATCCTGGTGGTGGGCGCGGAGGAGGAGGCGCAGGGCTCGGTGAGCTGGGCTTGGCTGGTAGCTTGAGAGATCTGAGGTAGCTGGGGGAGATGAGTGAGTATGTGGTATGAGGGAGTATGAGGGAATATGAGGGAGCAAGGAGTAGAGGTAGAGGGGAAGTGAGTCAGTTCAACAGCATCCTCGTGGTGGGTGAGGAGGAGGATACACAGGGCTCGTTGAGTTGAGAATTGAATGGTTTGCTGTAGAGAGCTCAGGGAGTTGGGTGAGATGACTCATGGAGTAGTGACAGAGGGGAAGTGGAGTCAGTTCAACTACATCCTCGTGATGGGAGCTGAGGAGGCACAGGGCTCGGTGACTCAAACTTAGCTGGTAATGTGGGGAAGTGACGGATTTTGCACGGTGCAATTCTGTCATTTTTTTCCCAGAATAACAAGTGTCCCATCATGTGTGTAAACTGTTTCTTCATAACAGGTGAATGTTCGCACAAGGGACAATGTGGTTCATGGCACAAAGTCCGTTGCGGAATTCATTGAGGAGCTAAAAGCCGAGGCCGCTGCATACCATTAGTTACTGCTGATTTACTGTATCTGATAGCCACCAGTACCTTTCTGTTGGATACTAAAGAATCTACTTCAGCCCTCACCTTGCTGATCACGCGATATAGAAATTGATGTGCATCCACCAGGATACCCAGCTGGTCACACTTGCTTGGAAAACACCCTTCTAATACAGCATATAAAAGTAAATGTTGTGAAGTTGCAAGTATGAGGGTTTCCAAAATCAATTAGATAATTCAACACCGAATGTGAGAGGAGAGGAATTTTTCACCTTATCACCTTATGTACAATGGAAAAACGAGTTCTGCTTATTGTTCACGCTCATTGCCGCACAATTGTTAACATCGACGAACAAACCCAGCTCAGCCGCCAGTGATTTGCGCATCCCAAAAAGTCAATGCTTTTCTAAGCATCGGCCCCTCCCAGCCCATGCCCCTTGCACTGGGTTTAGCAGGGTGTTACCAGCTCCCTGATTTCGTCCCGTTAGCTTTCGCAAAATGGACAGTATGTGTGTATTCTCTATCGAAGGACTCTTGTCTCGGCTCGTTGTTGTCACGGTCTCTATTATCACGCGACCTTCCCTCCCATCCCCTTCTTCCTTCCCTTTCTTCTCCGCCTATCGCTTCCTTCCCCCTCTCTCTGGTTTCCTCCAATCCCCCTAACTCAGGTAAGAGTTTAGGTTTCCCGCTCGAGTCGTAGCTCTGTCAGCCATCGGAAGATATAACTCAGTGTTTCTTAGTACTTCCACGTTAATCTTGAATCAAGAGACAGGTTCTAACGCTGTTGTAACGAGAGTACCGCCAACGTACGTTTAGTCCTTTACCTAGAGTTTGTCGCATGACATTTAGGACTATGAGCAGGGATCGTCAAGGTCAGCCGTCTCATTTCCTTTACGCGTTAACCTTAATCATATGATGAAGGTATCGTAGTGCTTCCGTCTCTTAACAGTCGATCCTGACTGTTCGTGCAGGTACAAAGCGGTGCTGAGCGGTGAGCAAGATGCAGATCTTCGTGAAGACCCTGACGGGCAAGACCATCACTCTCGAGGTCGAGAGCAGCGACACCATCGACAATGTCAAGGCCAAGATCCAGGACAAGGAGGGTGAGTCGCGGATTTTGTAGCTTTTGCCTGTCTGTCGCTGGGTTGGTAAGTAAGAGTGTATTGCCTTTAGTTGCATGATAGCAGCGACACCATCGACAATGTCAAGGCCAAGATCCAGGACAAGGAGGGTAAGTCGCGTGACTAACGGGGGTTTGTGGACTGATCAGAAACGTTTAGAGTCAATGAATGGGATTCTCTCTTGTCGAATCTGAGCTGGTTTTCTCCTTTATTTACTCCGTTCACCCTCTATTTGATGCCAATTAAGTCAAAACGCGTAAGCCTATTCGACGTACGCGTATCTTAGTTGCTTCTAAGACCGGTATCTAACTTCTAAGGGCATCCAGAGTGCCTCCGATGTCAAGTTACGGTTCTCAGACATCCGTTGACTGCGTTCGTTAACGACTGACCAGGATACATCGGCGTCGGTTTCCCTTTTTCTGTCAGTGTAGGTCTGAAAAAAGGCATTTGCTTGCAGAGCGTCGTTTCTTCGGCTTTGGGGCCCTTTTTTTTTAGGTCGACTCGAACTGTACTTCCGCACGGCTAAGAGGGCAGGCATTACAAGTAAAGTGTGATGGTCAGCAGTGCGCTACTGATAGGGGCGAACGGGAATGGGAAGCCTTGCAGAGGGGATAAGGATAAGGATTCAAGACGAGTTTTCACTGAACATGTAGAGTTCTTGCAGATGGGGACGGGATCTACTCGACTTTCTTGCGGTTCTTCTTTCAGAGCCTCATAAATCTGCCTCAGCTGAGAATGTAATATGAGGCGCCACTTTGCACGAGGGAGGTTAACCATTGCGCGTTGCAATCGGGCTAGACGGTCTATTGAAGTACGCGCGTTCGCATATATTCTCGCACCCTCCAAACGTCGAATTAGTTCGACAAAAGCTGCCGAAGTATAACAGCGTTAGGTCGTCGCCGTGTTATCTCACCGACTTTTCCCCACCCCCGCTCCCCCTTTTCCTTCCCCGTGTTCTTATCTCCCCGGTTATTCTATGCCCCTCCAGGCATCCCTCCCGACCAGCAGCGGCTGATTTTCGCCGGCAAGCAGCTCGAGGACGGCCGCACTCTTGCCGACTACAACATTCAGAAGGGTACGATTCTGATGTGTCGCGCTGATGATTCGCGAGACTCGGCTCTTCTTCCCACCACCCCCTCCCCTCTCCCGCCCATCTCTCTCACCCCTCTTCCTCTCGTTTCTCTCGTTCCCCACCTCCGTCCCCTCTTCCGCCTCTTCTCTTCGTCCTTTCTCGCATCCCTTCACTTCCCTGTCGCAATTTGTGTATTCCTCGCTCTTTCCCTGTTACAATCACTTCCCTATCACGCCCTCCGCTTGCGGCTGCGTGGTGCAATCATCGAGCCTTGCTCATGGATTTTCCACTGTGTGTCCCTCTTTTGTGTGTCCCTCCCCCACATCCCCCCCCACGCCTCCCTCCCCCTTGCGATTTCAGAGTCGACGCTGCACTTGGTGCTGCGGCTGCGAGGAGGAATCATCGAGCCTTCTCTCATGGCGCTCGCTCGCAAGTACAACGCCGATAAGATGATCTGCCGCAAGTGAGTTCGTAAATTTTCTGCGGTTCTTTTTAACGTCCTTCAACGATAACAAAGCGTTTCTCATGGCGCTTGCTCGCAAGTACACCGACGATGAGCTGATCTGCCGCAAATCAGTTGTTTGTGCAACGAATTAATTGTCGCTAAGATCCCTCCCCCCTCACCGGCCCGCCCCGTCCTGTCTGCCCCTGATTCGCCCCTGCTCCACCAATGTATTGCCTTTTCCAGGTGCTACCCTCGTCTGCACCCGCGCGCTGTGTGCGGTTTTTCAACAACCCCCCTGATCCCTCCTTTCCCCCCCGGCCTCCCGTCTTCCTGCCCTTTCCAGGTGCTACGCTCGCCTGCACCCGCGCGCTGTGAACTGCAGGAAGAAGAAGTGTGGCCACACCAACCAGGTGGGTTGACAGGCTGTAGCGATCAGGTGGGCCGGTTGTAGCGGCTGCTGTAGCGACCAGGTAAGGAAGCCTGGATATGCTACGCTCACCCGCACCGCGCAGTGTGATGTGAACTGCAGGAAGAAGTGCGGCCACACCAACCAGGTGGGCAAGCTGTAGCGGCCAGGTGGCAGGCAGGCTGTAGCGGCCAGGTGGGCAGGCAGGCTGTAGCGGCCAGGTGAGCAGGCAGGCTGTAGCGGCCAGGTGAGCAGGCAGGCTGTAGAGGCCAGGTGAGCAGGCAGGCTGTAGCGGCCAGGTGGGCAGGCAGGCTGTAGCGGCCAGGTGGCAGGCAGGCTGTAGCGGCCAGGTGAGCAGGCAGGCTGTAGCGGCCAGGTGAGCAGGCAGGCTATAGTGGCAGGCTGTAGCGACCTGGTAGGCAGGCCATGATCGCCTGCACCCGCGCTCTGTGATCTGCAGGAAGAAGTGCATGGGGGGCAGGCTGTAGTGGCATTCTGTAGCGGCTGGCTGTAGTGGCAGGCTGTAGCGGCAGGCTGTCGCGGCAGGCTGTAGCGGCATTCTGTAGCGACCAGGTGGGTTGGCGACAACAACCAGGTGTGTAGCGGCGAGCTGTACTGAGCAGGTTGGCTGGCTGAAAGGGACTGGGTAGGTAGGCTGTAACGACCAGGTGGGCCGTCTGTAGCAATTAGGTAGGAAGGCTGTAGAAACTACGGCAGGCTGTAGCTGTTGCCATCACACCATCCACGTGGGCGATAGCAATATGTAAGATGAAACACGCGGTGTACTGACTGACTTTATGTACATGCGGCGTTGCTGTAGTAATGCTGCTGGCAGCCGTAGAAACATTTTGGGTTGCCCTTCTTTTCCTGGCAGCTGTAGCAAAGCAAGCATGCAGGTTGCAGGCTGTGGCAGCTTGGTGGAAGGAGTTGATTCCACAGCTGTAGCGTTCGTTTTAACAGCTGTAGCAAGGTTTGATTCTGCAGGCTGACAGAATGTGACGGGTGCAATCCCGCTTATGACCAGATGCAACTGTCCCAACTTCCCCCCCCTGACTCCTCACTTGCCTTGTTCCTCCACCTACTCTTGTTTCTTCCGTACTGTTCCGTGTCCCCTTCTGTCCCATGTCCCTTTGTGCAGCTGAGGCCCAAGAAGAAGATCAAGTAGACACCTCTTGACATACGTAATGGTTTCCTGACTTGTATCTTTAGAAGGGCAGTTCACAGTCGGTCCTGGCCGAATAGGCAACCTGTCAGCTGGTGCTGGCTGCTGCTTTGCTGGTCTGACTGGTGCTGGTTATGAATGAGATGCACGTGTAATGCATTGTGCTATTGGTGAAGCCTTCAATCAACTCTTATTTTTGGGGAGCCATGACTAAAGCCACAAGCATCTTGTGAATGGGTGAGACAACTGGAAGAAAAATATCTGACGTTTTATATATCTTTCTACCTGGTGATTTTTTCTTCACAATGGTTTGTTTTGGGCATACCGAAATCACTCCAAACTGAAATTATTCGAGGGATAATAGCGAGTACAAGCCGGTCTTCGAAACAAGATGCTCCAAAAACTCGATGGCTTGTCATACCTAAATTCAACTTCGTCATGTTTGCCAACTACACAGGATATTCAGCTGTTGCATGCAAAAATTGGTCTTTCCAATTTCGACAGCCTGCCAATTACATTTGCTACCAGCCAGTTGCACGCACGATACAAGCCCCTATTAGGATCGCAGCCGTTGAACATCCACCTAATCACGCTGGCATCTGTCCGTTCGTAAGATATTTTGAGATGCTGGTTACATTTCTTCAACTTCCCACTACTGTCCCGATTTTTCCCGTGGCGAACGCTGGCGAGCAGGCGACTCGCTCGCGCTCACTAAAAACCCAAATGACGAGAAAAACTGTAGTTATCTAACAGGCATCCTGGGTACGGATGTGATGTTTTGCCTGAATATTCTATTTTGACCGCCTAACTTGTTCGCGCTTTTTTCAAGGTTTTTCAAATGAAGGGGCAAACGGACAGCTGGCGAACCAAACCACCTCCCGCCAACTCCCGAAAAAGTATGGCTCAATTCAGCCGTCCATCAATTGCGAGACGCTAAATCGAGAGCGTCAATTTCGACGAGGCGCACATATTGGTGAAGATTGCGGACCGCCAAATTGGATTTGTGAAACGAAATTCTTCCCTCCTCAGATTCAACTTTCATCCTCTCGTCAATCTCCCCGCACCTTCTCCTTCCATCGACTTCACCGCAATCCACCCACAATACCACCGCATGCACTTGCCATGGAGGTTCGTCAAAACCAGACATGGATCACCTCACCATAGCATCGACGCCTGAGCTTTTCTCCAGCCGTCAAACATTTCCGAGGTCCATGGCTAGTTTTCCGTTACCCTTTCGCGCCGTATCATGTACTGTCCTAGATGCGCCCGGAAGCTCCTTCTTCGTGTAGGTCACTGAATACCAGCATCCACGAACCCCACCGACAGATGACAATCCACCTTTCCAATCATGTCGACTAGATCCACCCATCTTAATCATCCAGGCTTGAAACGTCCCAACTATTCAATCCACATTTCAGGCATCACGTTTCACCCCTCTCTCGCAAAATTGCGCCCCCGCCAATTTTTTCTGCCGTTGCCAAGGAAGCCAGCAGTGCACCCTTGCTCTTCCTCCCCCATACCTTTCGCACGTTTTGTCACTACACTCCGGCTCCCATCACTTTCAAGAATCATTCGCCGTAGGCTGTGTAAATTTCTTGGGCTCGCGCTCATGCTTACTACCTCTTAAGCGTAGCACTTCAGCAAGAATGAATTTCCTGCGATAGCCCTTCACCGTACCAGTGAAGTTGTAATGCATGCGTTCTCTCGCCAGCTAACACTGTCATTCAGATATACTGTTCTCGCTGACTCTTAGAGGCAACGATAGTGACCATCATTCCCAGTTGCTGCGGAAGCACTTGATTGCCGATCTTCGCCCCTAGCTGTTTGGAACTGGTAGTTTACAGGCGAGCATCCCTTTGCAGCCAAAACGATCCTTTGCAACCAAAACGATCAGCTAAGGCGGTTCAAAGCACCGGCGCCCTACCAGCTAAGCGGAACTCTTCGTACGTAGGCATCACAGCCCTCGCGCGCTCGCATACTTGTAACGCGTACAGCCTTCCCTTTCGCTTGCGGCACTTTCGTGTGAAGGCCAAAATCGCCTCTCACGCTTTCGCTGATAGGGTTACCATATTACCAGAAGGGACTCTATACTGCGAGCATGATGCGGCCTGTCAGAACTATCCTCATCGGCGCGCTTCTCCTGGTGTGCCTCCACGTGGCATATGCCGGATTTCCCGGGTTTGGCGGCAAGAAGAAGAAGGCATGTGACCTCTCCGTCGGGAGGTAAGCGGCTGGCGGACCTGTAGCGTTGTCAGGCCTCTCTGTTCAGTTTTAAGTATTGCATGCGCAAGAGGTGATAAGTCTGCCGCCCGATACACCAATCTCGTACGCGAGACAGCCCGTCCCTGCGTCCAACCGGAACCCGAAATCCGCCATCCCCTTTTCACTCTTCCCATCCCTGCTTCCCCCACTTGTTTTCTATGTATCTTTCATCAACATCCACCCCCTGTTTTACACCCTTCCCAACTTCAGCTGGGCCCCGTCGACCAAGTACCCGGTATACGATTCCTCGTGTCCGTACATTAGCCAGGAGCTTAACTGCGAAAAAAACGGGCGACCGGACGGCGACTTTCGCCACTTCGAGTGGAAGCCATCGGGTTGCAAGCTGGTTCGGTTTGACGCGAAAAAATTCGCGATGACTTTCGTTGGCCAGGCCGTGGCGATCGTGGGCGACAATTCTGGGCTGTACATGTACCAGTCGCTCAGATGTCGCCTAGAAGCTGCGAACTTTAAGACCGAGGTAAGAACTGGAAGGAAGGAATTATCTGTAATCAAGCAACATGACACCCAATTCCCACAATACATGAAAACGCATGACAATTCTAAGAGAAAGTGTGCTTAGCCCAGCATGACACCCTATTCCCACAATACATGAAAACGCTTTTCGCTACTGTGACTGACCCGCATCGCTCTTGCTACATTGTTAATCAATTATGCTTCCCGCCTCTTTTTCCCTGCAGAGTTTCAATCCGTCTACGATTGGCTGGACCGGCGATGGTTTCAAGGTCAAGCCTTGGGGGGTGAAGGTCGTGTTCGTGCACGCACCGTTCCTCACCGAAGCGGATCCAATGGACCCGGTAAGAGAATCCCTCCTATAATAACTTCTGCAGAAGGTGCACTGTAATATGCACCCTTTCTCGTTTATACAGTTTTCTTATTCTATGTTCCGCTGTTGGCTGTTGTTTCCCATTCGTTTTCGAGAAACTCCCGTATGCGAGTTCTCACTGTTGGCTCGCCTAAACCAGTCGAAATCTGCTTTCGTTCCTCCTGTTTCCCCATCCAACATCAGTTGAAGCGATCTGTGAAGGATGGATGGATGGTGCACGTGGACAAAATCAACCACAAGCTAACAGAAACACTCAAAGGGCTGCGATCAGTCATCCTCGTGGCCGGCTCTTACTACGCGGTAAGCCTGGAATCAAGCCCTTGGAACTTCCTCATTCTCGTGTCATGACATGTCGTCGTGGACTTTTTGTTAACCCGAGAAAAGGAGGAGGCGATCCATCCTCGTGGCTGGCTCTTACTATGCGGTAAGCCTGGAGACAAGCCCTTGAACTTCCTCATTCCGTGATTATCATCATCACATGTGTTCCGTTGAGTTACAAGATTTCAGATGACAGGTCTTGGAACCTGATTCGTGTGTGATCCCTTGTGACGCGCCTCAGACTCCATGTCGTTGGTAAAGTTGCAAGTCCTTAGGAGGACAACATTCTTATTCACTGTTCCTACTATTCTCCATAATACTCCCTAGTGTTTCTAATTCCATATTCGCAGCTGCTAGGCGACACCTGAGACTATCCCCTTTTCGCCCCTTCCCGCCCCTCACCACTCCTCCCCCTCTCTCCCTCCAGGAATCCTCCAACCGCACGTACTAGATCAAGGCCCGCGTGATAGGGCTTCGACTTGACTCAAACTTAACCTTACCCTCCCCCACCCACACCCCCTTCCCTTCCCCCCTTACCCCTTCCCCCCCACCCCCCTCTTCCTCCTGCTCTTTTCCCCTTTCCTCCCCCCCTCCTCCCCTCCTCCACTCCCCACATGCACTCCAGGAATCCTCCAACCGCACGTATTACAGCAAGGGCCGGGCGATTGCCTCGCAGCCTAGCGGCATCGCTGCTCTTCACATTGTGCTGCGGAACATTGCAGATTACATCAAGTCCAACGTCATGCTAGTTCAGCCCTACGCGCTCTCCATCCCCCCAGCCCGCTCACTCTCTGCCTAAACTCAAATCTTTACCCCCACCTCCTCCCCCTTGTTCCCCCTTCCTCCCCTCCCCACCCTCCCCCCCTCCTCTCCCCATCCCTCTCCTCCTCCAGGAATCCTCCAACCGCACGTATTACAGCAAGGGCCGGGCGATTGCCTCGCAGCCCAGCGGCATCGCGGCACTCAACATAGTGCTGCGGAACATCGCAGATTACATCAAGTCCAACGTCATGCTGGTTCAGCCCTACGCGCTCTCCATCCCGCCCGCGCACATGCCAAACATGTTCCAATACGCCGACACCACTTGCGCGCTTTTCGCGGGACCTTTGTCGAGTACAGCCACGGATCTAGCCAAGGCGCGGAGCAGCGTTGTCGCGTGGACCAACGCGCAAATCAATGCGTTATCGAAATCTCGGGTGAAGCTGCTTAACATTTTGTCGCTGTCGCTCTATAGGGCGGATGCACACGTGGGGACGTATAGACCGGCGGGAGGTTCGACGGAAATGGACTGTGCTAAGTGGTGCTTGCCAGGAGTTCCAGATGTGTGGCTGGATTTGTGGTACCACCAGGTCAGCGACCCATTCAACCTCAAACCGTGAAGTCATGAATACTCTCAAGTACATAATATGCGGCGGAAATATCATCACATCACAGGTGATATGACATGACGTGACAGACCCCTCAGCTGGCATGTTCAATTGACATTAGACCGGAACTGCAGCTCGAGCATAGAAGGATGGTGTCTACCTGACAGTAACAATCTTTGATTGGGCATGAAAAGTGAAGTATGCCCATTAGTTATACTTGGTTGTCATTTGTGTGTTGCAGATTTCAGTGTTCTTTCTGCGCTTCATGTTCATATGGTCTGCATTGGATGGTTGTACCATTTGCACCAGCATATCCATTGAAGTCATGCACTTAAAGGGCAGAACCCGAATTGCTCAACGGAAGTCAACGCTGGAAAATAGGTTTGGGAAAGCAGCGATAATAGGTTCGGAAACCTCCCCTAAACCCTGCTATCCCGAAACCAGCAGGAGTGCTTCACAAACTGGCCCCAGTTTGTGAAGGCTTCTTTGTAATTCGGGGGCTGGGCTTTAAGTGTATTTAAAATCAAAATTGACTTGTGCAATGTATGAAACACACTTCATTTGTAGTGCGATGATTGGCGCCATTTCACATGAGCTGCGAGTCCCCGAAACCCTCGGGATTGGCGGATCTGACATATCCAACTCTTGAAATCACTCAGGAGCATACCCGCTATACTGTATGAAATCTGGTCGAGTTTTACGAATGCAGTGTTCATCAAAACATTATGCGTGAAATGCCATAATTGCTGGACCACAACCTGCCCTTGGGAATTCCCCCCTCCCCTGCCATCAAAGCCGAGAGAATCGCAAGGGAAGCTTTTCGTTCTGTTGCGGATTCCCTTGGGATTTCCTTTCTCCACACAACTCCCAGTCCGTCCATCTTCATCAGACTCGTCACGTTTTCCGTCTGCAGCCCCTGCGTAGCTGCGTCCGTTATTTCTGCCTCCGTCTGTCCGTAATCTCTGTACGCATTGGCCGTATTTGCGGTAGAGGAATCTCTCGCCGTTCGTCCGGACGCGGATCTGAATGACAGCAGTAACGTTGTTACCCGTCGCGAGCCCTGGCCGCCGTCAGTCGTTTTTATCGCCCGTGTCGGCTTGCATCGACTCTATTAGGAAAAAGCTTCGCGCATCGATTGAGACTCGTGCTTTATATTCCAAGAGCCCGAACGCCCGCCGGGAAGTAAGGAGACGAGTGTTCGATAGTCTCAGCCAACAGATGACATGTTTATTAGTCCTCTCGGTAAAGAAGAGAAGTAACCATTCTACGCCGCAGCTGTGGTCGCGTGCTTAGCGGAGAAGTCAACCAGCTTATACCGAGACAGCGGTCTTACAACGAGTCACCCGGATTGTAACGCGTATACATGGAAGCAAGTCGCGGGAGTGTTCAACTTTCCGGAAGGGGAAACTCCGCGCGTGGCATTGATGGTGATTGTAACGCATCCGGAGATTCAGCCATGATGAGCGGAAATCATGCTGACGTGGAGACTAAAGAGTTAGGCGAAGAGAAGCAATCGAGGAAGGAGTTAGGGAGTAAAGGGCCGGAAAAAGGGGATCAAGAAGCGGAGGAGAAGGCTGAGAAGGGAGGGAGGGAGAAAGGTGATAAAGGGGAGGCGGTGAAAGGCGATAAGGGGGAGGCAGTGAAAGGCGATAAGGGGGAGACGTTGAAAGGTTATAAGGGGTGGACGGTGAAAGGCGATAAAGGGGATACGATGAAAGGCGATAAAGGGGAGATGATGAAAGGTGGTAAGGGGGAGACGTTGAAAGGCGATAAAGAGGAGGCGGTGAAAGGCGATAAAGGGGAGACAATGAAAGGTGATAAAGGGGGGACGACGAAAGGCGATAAGGGGGAGAGAGAGGACAAGGATGGAAAGGGAAAGAACCCGAAGGGCGGGGGGAGAGGTGAAGAAGGGAAAGAGGGAGGGAAGCAAGGGATGGATAGGAAGGTGATTGGTATGGTGGGACTGGGAAAGACAACGAGCGAAGGCGCAAGGAAGGAGAAGGAGACGGGCGGAAAGAAGGGGAAAGGAGGGGAGGAGGAGGGGAAGGAGCGACGGGATACGAAGGAAGGGAAGGCGGAGGGACAGAGGGAGGAGCGAGGGAAAGGAGGGGAGGAGGAGAAGGAGGGAAAGGATGCGAGGGGAAATGGGAAGGAGCGGGAGGAGGTTAGAGGGAAAGGGAAGGAGGAGAAGGAGAAAGGGGCGACGGTGGAGGCGGGGAAGGAGAATGGGGGAAAGGACGGGAAGGAGAAGAAAGAGAAGAAGGAGAAGAGGGAGGAGGGGAAGGGAACGGGAGGGAAGGAGGATCTGCAGAAGAAAGGAAGGGAGACGAGGGCTAAGATCGAGGAGGGGGATGAGAAGAGAAAAGGGCATGAGGAAGAGGGGGGGGAGAAGAAAGAGAAGGGAGAGAAGAGCGAGGAGAGGGAAAAGGAGGAAGTGAATCCTGGTGAGGTGAAGGGGGAGGGGAAACAGAAAGTGGGGAATGAAGAGGAGAGGAGAGAGGAGAACGAAAGGAAAGAGGAGATTGTGAGAAAAGAGGAGGAGGAGGGAGAGATTGCTGCTGACGAGTGCAAAAAGGGGAAGGAGAAAGGAAGAGGCGTTGAAGCAGGGGAGGAAGGAGAGATTCAGGAGGAAGAGACGAAGAAGAGTAAGGAGAAGGAGAAGGAGAAGAGGGAGGAGAAGAGGGAGGGGGGTGAACAAAAGAAGGAGAGGAGGAAAGAGAAGGATGGAGAGCGGAAGGAGAAGGACGAAAAGAGGAAGGAAGAAAAGGACAAGGATGAGAAGAAGGAATGGAAGGTGAAGGATGAGAAGAAAGAAGAGAAGGGGAAGGATGAGACAGGAGAGGTGAGCCGAGGCGAAGAGAGACCAGAGAAGAGGGAGAAGAGAGGAGATGAAGAGGAGAGGAAGAAAGAGAGGAGAAAGAGGGATGAAAAGGACGAGGAGAGGCGGAAAGAGAAGAAGAGAGAGAGGAGGGAGGAAAGGAGAGCAGAGGAGAAAGGAGAGGGGAAGAGGAAGGAGAGGAAGACCGAGGAAGGACAGGATGTGAAGTCGAAAGAGAGGAAAGAGAAGAAGGAGAAGAGGGAAAAGGAAGAGAAGCGGGAGAAGAGGAGTGAGCAGCCTCTTTTGAGCCCGGAACACTCAGGAAAAGGATCGGAGGTCAGAGAGAAGGGCTTTAAGAGCCCTGAGCACTGCATGATGAGCCCCGATCCAGGAGCGAAGCCCTTAAAGGATGCTATGAAAAGTCCTGATGAAGTCAAAAGCCTTGATAATATGAGAAGTCTGGAGGTTTTGAGGAGCCCGGGCGATTTTCAGAGTCCTGAGGAGAAAAAGAGTCCTGGCGATACAATGACTCCTGGTGAGTTACAGATTCCTGGGGAAAAAAAGTGTCTTGGCGATTTACAGAGTCCTGGAAAATTGCAGAGTCCTGCCGATTTTAAGAGTCCTGAGGAGAAGAGACTTGGGGAACGGGTACGGAGCCCTGTTGAGGGTGTGAAATATGCTGAACAGCCGGTCGAAAGCTCAGATCAGGTTAGAGGGAGTATTGACATGTCTGTGAATATGGACGGCTGTTCAAAAGGAAGCCCGGGTCAGTCTATAGCGAGTATGGCCAGTCCGGGGGTGAATAGTCTGGAGGAGGGAGAGAGGAGGAGGAGTGTGGAAGGGCGGGGGGAGAAGAGTGAGGAAGGGAAGGAGGCGAAGAGGAAGAGGGAGGATAAGGAGAAGGAGGAGAAGGAGAGGAGGAGAGAGGGGGGGAAGGAGGGGAAGAAGGAGGGGAAGGATGAGAAGGATGAGGGTAGGAGGAGGGAGGAGAGGAAGGAGAGGAAGAGGAAGGAGAAGAGGGAGAGGAGGGAGGCGAGGAAAGGGGAAGGGAGGGAGGAGAATAAGGGGAAGGGGAAGGGGGGTGATGATGAGAAAGGAGATAGAGAAGAGGGAAGAGAAGAGGTGAGAGAGGAAAAGAACGTGGGGGAGAAGGAGGGGTTGAAAGATAGTGACCAAGTGAAGGAGGAGAGGAGGGAGGGAGTGAGACAAGGGGAGCAACGAGGGACGGTGGAGAGCAGGGTGGAGAAAGCAGAGGGGAAAGGAGGGACGGGGGAGGGCAAGGAGGAGAATGTAGGGGCGAAGGAGAAAGCAGAGGAGAAAGGAGGGATGGGGAAGGGCAAGGAGGAGAAAGAAGAGGCGAAGGAGAAAGTAGAGGAGAAATCAGAGAAGAAAGCATGGATGGGGGAAATCACGGAGGAGAAAGAAGAGGAGAAATCAGAGAAGAAAGCATGGATGGGGGAAATCACGGAGGAGAAAGAAGAGGCGAAGGTGGGGCAGAAAATCAAGGAAGTGGAAGGGAATACAACGGGGAAAGCAGCGGAAACAGCAAAGGCGAAAGCAGAGGAGATTGCAAAGGAGAAAGGAAAGGAGGAGGCAAAGCAGGAAGCGCCAGAAGCAGTGGCTCAGCAGAATGAGACGACGGGCAGCGGTGGTGTGCGTGGGGAGGAGGGGAAGGGGATGCGTGAACAGGAAGGCGAGGTGACTTGCGAGTCGAATCAAGAGGAAAAGGGGAAGCTTGGAAAGGATAGGGATGGTCAGGAGCAGGAGCATGCTCAATTCAAGGGAGGTGGGGCGACGTGGCCAAAGAAGATAGCAGGAGCGAAATCAGGGGTTGGGGATGGGCAGAGACAGGAGCGTGCTGAACCAAAGGAGGAGAGCAAGGAGAAAAAGGATGTTCAGAAGGGGTTGACGGGAGAAGCGGGCTTGGATGGTGAGGGGCAGCAATTAAGAGCTGAGCCTGAGCGTGTGCTTTCAAAGGGTGGTGATATGGACGAAGGGAAAAAGGGGTTGGCTGATGTGACAGTAGCAGGGGAAAGAGAGCAGGTTAAGGAAGGGGATAAGGGAGAGGGGGGAGATGAGTTGGGAAGAGGTAAGGGCCGAAGTGAAAGGGAGACCGGAAAGAGAGAGGAGGAGAAGGGGAGAGAGGCAGTAAAGCTCTTCCGAGATGCTGCATCTGGTGGGGCTGTAGCTATGA